AATTTCCATTAGCCCTTTTTGAAAACATTCCCATCCAGGTAGTTATGCACCACTTTAGCTTATCCAGAGACCATATACAGTCAGAGCTAACCACAGTTACAAAAACACACACACAGTAAGCAGCTCTGGCTTTGTGCTCCACACACGGCCAAGAAGGATACCAAATGAACTTGCTTTCCCACTGAGATTAGTGCAAATGCTCAAAGAATTAAAGCTTACCATCTCTAAGCTCCAAGCACGCACACACACATATACTAGAACAGCAATTCCAATAATGCTTGTCAAGTAACAATAGGACTGGATTGGCTCCAAAACAGTACTCATGCAAATAAAAGAGGAGCTTGACTTGTCCTTAGTGGTACTTCTGAGAAAAAGCAGAAGATTGGTATATTAATGATTCCCTCAAAACGCCCAGTGATATATTTATTTCTTCCTGATATATGATATATTTTATGACCTGAAAGACTTACAGAGGGAATACCGTCATCCTGAGTTAACGTTAATGTAAGAATGCTATTCTTTTGCAAGTCAGTCCCAGTTTCTTCTGAGGTCAAATGGCTGTAGGTGCTTTATGTAAATTCCTTCCACAATTATGCTTCCATACTCACACGTTTACACACATGTGCTCTACATGTCAGGTAGCATTTTGTTGCTCTTACTGTAAATGGCATCCCACGCGACCCTGCCGTGCATTTGAGCGCACGTCTTTATATTCTCAGGAAATATTCTGACGAAATCCTTCAGAATTATGATTACCTCCCTCTCATGTCTTTCGTGCCCTCGAGGAAGACAATCTAGTTTCAACAAAACAAAATCAAATCTGTGAAGTCCCACTGTGAGATTATATCGCCTGAGTCTACAAGAAAATACCTGCAGTAGTTCAGTGGAAGTCTGTCTTGTGCAATCAAGGATGCATGATCGATATGCTGTTCTAATAATATAAACAAGGAGATTTCACAGTTCCTGATTACTTGTTTTTCTTTAATGCAAAGCATAACATGCTGAAGCATGCTTTTCATTTGTACACTGAAATCTTTCAATGTAATAATTGCGGTGGCTGAGGGTTTTTGAAATATAGTTGTTTAAGAAAGAAGAAGAAGAAGAAGAAGAAGAAGAAGAAGAAGAAGAAGAAGAAGAAGAAGAAGAAGAAGAGTGCAAAAATGGCTTCCCTGGCTTAATCCAAAGGGAATATAATCCAATAAGTATATAATAGGTATAGAAGGTGGATTATACAACCTTATATGATTATTCTGTGCACATTTTTCTTCTTCAGTTTTCGTCCTGATTCATTCTTTCACCCAATAAGGCTGTGCCCTTTTTGATGATATCATTGTTTTGGGCAACCATTTTTCTCCTCCTGACATGACATGCAGCTGTTAGTCATCCAAATCACACCTGTTGGCAGACGTTAATTATTGCACGACAGACCACTCTCTGCTCAAGATAGAACATGCCTGAAACATCTTGCCCAGGAGGTGCCTAGGAAGCAAGCCTAATCAAATGCCTGAAACACTTTAGTTGGCTCCTTTGGATGTGGAGGAGTCAACGGGTCTATTTCGAGTCCTACCTGGATGACTGAACATCTCACCCTATCTCTAAGGCTGAACCCAGGAACCCTTCAGAGAAAGCTCAAGATGTCATTCTTTCGATCATTACCCAGAGTTCATAGCCATCGATAAGGGTATGGACGTAGATAGACCAATAAAACGAGGAAAAAGTTAAAAACTTCATGACGGACCAGTACAACATCTGCATCGCTGTAGATCAGGGGTGCCCAATCCCAGTCCTTGAGAGCTAGATGCATCCCTACTCCAACACAGCTGAATCAAATGGTTTGATTACCTCTTCAGCATGCCATCATGTTTGGCAAAGGCCTGATAACAAGCCATTCATTTGATTCAGGTGTGTCGGAACAAGGATGCATCTAAAAGCTGTAGGACGGTAGCTCTCGAGGACTGGGATTGGGAACCTCTGCTGTAGATACTGCAGCAATCTGTCTGTCAATCTTCACCTTTTATTTTTTGGTTACAAATTAAATGTGTTTATATCGTACATTTAATTTTTAGCTTATATACTTACTTCACTACGTAGATGAAGTGGTTCAGCTAGCTATAATTGAAGAAAGACTGTGGCTGCGCTTGCAGCTAGGGAGCCCCCTAGTGGATGTTACATAAAGAAATTACATTACAATAAAAAAGGCAGAATCCCTTGGATTCTCTGTCAGGCCCACCTATTGCTCATCACATCTAAATTCACATCTGAAAACACTTCAGACTTCACTAGTGCATGATACCACAGGGCTACATCCATCTTTTATTTACAGTCTACAAGCCTTTATGCTCTGCTGACTTTAGCTTTATATTTAGTGCACAGACATCATACAAATATAAATATCCTCATCTGAGTCTAGGCAAACTGATACTTCCGGAAATATATGTATGCAGCCATATTTTGAAGAGTATAATATAAATGGGCTAAACATTGATAGGGGTGTGGAACTAAAACAGGTATAATTTAAGCTGTTTCCAAAAATAATGTGATTTGTCCCAGTGCCTTTTTTCAGATAATTAAAAACCTAAGTTATGAAAATAGCTTCTGTCAACAGCTTCCATCTGACCCCCTTCCGCCAAAACTGCTAGGATGTAGAGGATTTTCTAATTTCATGCTCTTGTTCCCATCTTAGGGAATTTAACTAAAACCTCTCAAGGAAGCAAACAACTTAGCAGAACCGACTTAACGTTCATTTAACCTCAGTTGCTCAGTGAATAAAACTAAGACGGAAGTGAAATTCAAAACTGGGCAAAAACGAGCGAAAAGAGCAACTAGTGTGCACGAAAAGTGCTAAAAACCACCGGGCAAACTTTGCCTGATCCCCAGGAGTAAATCAAAAAGACACAGCAGATTAGTATGTTGGTGCAAAGCTCCTATTGACCTAGAAGTGTGTGCGTTCATCACAACAAAATTGGGAAGCAAATTCATGTGTGCATTTTGTGCACATGTGTGTGTGTGTGTGTGCTCTTTGTGTAAGACTGATTAAGCTCCAATCATATCAGTGCACCTAATCCCTTTACACAGACCCTCATAGTTCAGACTGACTGCTCAACATCCATCCCAGTCAAGCTCCTCACAGTGAAGTCCCTGCAACAGGATGCACAACATATACATTTAGGATAAAAATAGAGCTTTGAGCAAGGGCAGGCAAGTGGGATGTTGACAGGAGGTATAAAGAGTGACTGGAAAAAAAAACCTGGAAGATGGTGCAGGTGCGTGGGATATGAAAAGTTTAGCCAAAAAAGAAAAAGGCAAGATGGAGAACTGCCAGTGCCTTCAAGAAGCCACCGCCCAATGGGTGACATTAAGCCCTAATCAGCTGCTGACACGCAAACACACACATAGATATACGCACAGAAAGACAGAGTGTGTTTTCACATCAGGACCGGCTACATATTTATCCCCAAATGGTTTTGCCAGGTGCAGTGGGTTGGCAGAAGTTAAGTTTATTTTATTTTTTTCCTTTTTTCCACCAAAAAACACACATACCTCTTATCTCCCTTAAACAGATGTGCATGTTCCAGTTTCTTCATGACAAACTCATATACCCTGGCAGTGACATGTTTCACTGGGAGCATTTGTGTGTGCCTGAGAGAGAGTGACGGGGAGCGAGAGAGAGACGGCGAGTATGACTGTGCACGATTGCAGCAGCTCTCATTTCACGACAGAGCTCTCACCAAAGCCTTTTATGCAGACCCCTTTACAAAGCCCCTTCATCCACGCATACACACACATTCATCAAAAACCTTGTATTCCATTTTCCAAGACTGCAGCTCCCTGCACATCTTGATTGCACCTTTACAGCTCGGACCGTCTGGCTCTCTCACATATAAACAGCCACAAAGTCCAAGAAAGCACTTGAATCAAGCAAACCAGCAATCAGGAACACATTTCCATGCCTTTTATTCTGTCCCTGCACTTTGCCTCTCATTGATCTTTTTCTGTATTCATCTACAAATGATGAATAGAAATAAACACAGAAGCGGGGCAGAACAAGATGCAAATGGGGTTTTTGAATTAACATTTCGAAAAAAGTTATGGGGATTTTTTTATTCTTTAATATAAACTTAGCTCAACAGGTAAGGAAATTTGTGTTTGGTTGTGTATTTCATTGCTGTAACAATGCTTCTTTGATATAAATCTTTTACCATTGGAAAGCCTGTTTATGTCCTCTTAAGTGGTACTGCATTTGTAAGAAAAATACAATTGAGGGTTGAGCTGCATAGTTGAATATGTAAGATGCCTGTGAAAAACTTGCCAAATCTCTGTCAATGCCAAACAGGTTATTCTGATACTGACTCTTGTTTTGAGCTTCTGGTACCCCTGGAGCTAACAATCAGGTGCCTGACTGGTACCTGATTAACAGTACCTGCTACACCGGTGTCTGCTCCAAGCATGCCATATTTGACTGATCTAGATAGGGCTTGTGCACAGAGAAACTTCAAGCATTTGTTCTGCAAAACCAAGTTGTAGCGTCATTTGGAGTGAGCCATAGTACATCTCCAAATTGAAGGCCAGTTTCCATACAACAGAGGATGTCAGAGGCAGACCGCAAGGTGGTTGTTCTGAGAAGATAATACCACAGTGTATTTAAGGAGTAATAACAATCAGTTGGGTAGATGAAACATTGAAATTGCTGCTTACTAAGATTAAAGAAATTTAACACAACAACTGAAAATAATAACGTCTCAGCAACTTAATAAAAATCTGTTTGTCTTGAATTTTTAAAAAAAACTCTCTACCATCTATTACAGATGTTTAACTCAAATAATATTAAAATGTAGATGAAATTCTCTAAAAATTTAAATATCAGTTTTATACACCTGCAAAATTCCCCACATATGTCAATTTTATTCAGGATTAATAAATTAGCAGAGTAAACTAGAAATTGTTTCAAAGTAAGTTTAGTTAACTCCCAGTGTAAAATTATTGGTGCTGTGTCTCTATTATGTTATTTATGCCCTTTCAGGTTACCAAATGTATTTACAGGCCTACTGTTAGCTAGCTAACGTTAGCATGCTAACCGACTAACTATCAGGTCTAGGTTAGCTATTTTGTTGATAAGAAGCAGAGCCTGTGCATGTTGTATCGCAACAGTTTGTTGGTTTTCTCTTTTCTATATACTTTTATTAACCTGTCTACTTGACATAACAGTCCGTCCAGCAGAAGCTATTTTCAGAGAAGTTGGAACTTAACCTCAGCAAGGTAATGTTAGCTAAACTTTGCAAGGTATAAGTTGCTAATCCTAGCTAAAATTAATATAACAGCTTTCTAATCTAAGAATAATCTAATTTACATGTGTTTAGTTTTTAAATACTAATAAATTAATGTTTCTTGCCACCTATTATTTGAGTTAATATAATTTGATTAAAGACATGACCACAGGCAGTATGGATTGCTTGGCTTATTAAAGCTGCACAAAAAGAGATGTGTTTGTGTCACTGTAGTGTGATGTTAAATTCACACCACTAAGTAATGCCTGAAATATTTTTTTAGGTCAGTGAATAACCAACCCAAAACCCCTGTGGCAAAAGGATTCATTTTTTTAGCTACTGGGTTGAATCTGATTACATTTATTTGTCTTTGAACAGAGTCTAGGCTTAGAGGTGATGCAAGATCAAGGTGTGAAGGTGAAAGATATTTGATCTGGGTGGTGGGAAGCACAGAATTTGGCTTAGAAGAGGAGAACTGAGTCAGAGGTAGATGAAAAGGGCACACAATCAAACAATGCACATATTTACACAATGTGCCCTTTATATTGAAGACAACAATAGAGCAGGGCCTGGGGATACAGGATTAAAAGACCTGGGATGATAAAGAGTGCTCGGAGCTCAGCCTTTGAGGGATTATTTCTGTCAATGGTTTTGCCCTGATAAGTCCACTCCAAGCTCTCTAGTAATGGCTCTAAATCTGTTGTATTTGCTTCTGTTTTTAGCCTTGAGTCAGGCCTATGACTTGCCTTTACTATTTCAGGTTTTTAAGTGTGTTTTACATAGACATGATCTATCCTATGTCTCAGAGTAATTTCATTTTGTAACATATCAGTCAAATAGTGTGCTAATTTGCACATCCCAGTCAAAGCTTAATTACTATAACAATCAGTCCCATACCAAAGGATATTCTGTTTACAATGAATTGAAAAAATGATCAAATCTTCATATTTGACAATCAGCAATTAATTCAGCAATTTAATCAGTTATTTGCTTAAAATGAAATTCACGTCACAGTCCCTTATGTGTAAACTACACAACAAAATGCCATCAGCTGCACTCAACAAGCTGTGGAAATTAAACAACCAGCTGAATAGCTGTGTGTCAGTAAAGGGAGACAACGATGCTGCAGATATATATTCCATAATGTTTCTGATGGAGTAACTGTTTATAGAAAGATTAGGGGGTTTCCCTCTTTAACCCTTTGGGCACATCCTGTGTGATGGATGACTGATTGCTTCCTTTTGACAGCCACACAGATGGCCCTTCTTACAAAATATATATGTTCAGACTGTTCAGTCATCTACCCCTCTGAAATCTACAGGAAATATTGCAAGGATATGTTTGGGGGTTTTCCCCGAATGCGGATGCAAAAGGAAAAAATGAGGTACTGATATTTTTCAAATGTGTTGTAGTCCGTTTTTTAAGTGGGTTTTATTTTCTCAAGCATGGAATTGTGCTTACGTGCATAGTCACCCTCACAAAGACCCATTTCCCAGCTGTCAATTACTACATTTCATATTATAATGGGGGGTTTTGTTTGTTTTTTTGCATTTTGGATTGCTGGTTATGCAAAATAGATAATTTAAAGGTTCTAAAATATTAAACATGTTGCCGGTATCATATCTTTAAAACACCAGTGATAAAATTGATCAGTATTTGGAGCATTCGACACATTAGCGTTGCTTACTTTAGTCTTCTTTATATGCTCCATTTTGTCCATTTTGGTTTTACATATTTTCATTTATGATTTATTCCAGCATAGTAACATGATTCTGATTAAGTGAACATTTGAGAGCAGCAGAGCTGGCTGTGTTATCATTTCAGATTATATTCTTATGTTTTCAGTGTTCAACTACTTCTTTTCCCACCATCCTCCTCAGATCTAAAGGAAAGCCCTGAGTTATGTAAGAATGGACTGATTTATAACCTAGTTTCTCGCTACATATTTTCATATGCAGCATAACTCATTTATTCTGTTTATTTTGTTCTGTTCTAGTTTCCCTACTGATGATTAGGACTGCAGATAATGTACTTATTTAATGAATCTTGTTCATTCCTAAGGGTGATTGTCATTACAGGGGAAGAGACCTTACATTTTTCTTTTGTTGTCTTTGTGTACTTTATGTGTTCCTTCAGCATTGTGTTTGTGGTTTGCAGGCTATCATGGAGAGCAGAAAGAGGGCAGCAGCTTCTTCCAACTCTCCAAGTTTGGTTTTCTGGTCCTCGTCGTTCCCACGGCAACCAGCCAGGGTCCTAATTGTGGAGGCGCTGCCGCCCCGATGGTCAGAGACCCGCACGGTTCTTTGCGATGCTCTCGACAACTTCTTGTCTCTGGCCTCTAGTCTGGATGGGCCCTGTAGGATGCCTCTACTGAGCCTGTATGCCGTCAGCAGGCAGCGGGAATGTCTATTGCCACTTGTGGTAAGATGGATAAAAGTGTAATATTCCTGAAAGCAGTGCAAAACACATTATTTATCTCCTATAATTGCTTTTTCTTTCATACATAAATATCAGCCCTTTTCCTGCTTTGCATTCTGTCATCCACATTATCTCCCATTTTTATCCATTTTTCATTCCCTGTCACTTTTGTTATTTTAGCAAGTTCGTGGTAACTTCGCCAGGCTGCATTCCTGTGTTGAAGAGCTGAGGTCTATTGCAAGTGAAGGTTGTATCAGAGGAGCAGCCGCGGGAGCTGATCTGCTGCGACAGGCAGTGCTGGACAGTCTGCAGCAGTTTAAACAGTACATCAGACACACCAGCGCTGGCAGTCAGGCCGGCAGCAACATCTCTGTGGAGGTGAGAAGCGACACTTCACAGCAAGAAATGAATTTCTATGTAAAACTGCACATTTGTACAAGTCACAGGGACTGGGTAGCGAGCTCCTCTCAGAGTCCACTCTTACCATTGACTTAGGAATCAGCCCCACAGTACAAAGCAGAGAGCAACTATCCTGATCAGCTTCCAAAGAAACACACATGTGTGAAAGCTCTGTCTTTATAGTGAAAGAAGACACAAACACCGTACACACTTCTGTAACTTTTAGTGAATAATTTAACTTTGGTTTTCATTTACAGTTGGCAGACAGCTTTTAGAAAGGGTGTCACACACAGCCTGTTTAACTTTGCTGATGGTTAGTGGAGTAATAAACACATATAAAGCCTCTAACTATCTGCACAAAGAGGTTAACAGGCTCTTTCAGTTACTATTTTCAAAAAATTGCTTAGTAGGTTTCTAAGTGCTGATCGATTATACTGAACACACACTGCTAGAGAGCCAGTTAGATCTGTGGTATAAGAGTACCCTGGTAACTGTTACAGTAAATACAAAGCATTAAACCATAATCGTGTTTCTTGTCCTCAAATTCCACTTTGTAGCACAGAAATCTGAGTCTAAATAGTTCTAAATGGCAACAGAAGTGGAGATGCTGGGGATTGAACCCAGGACCTCATATATGCGAAGCATGCGCTCTACCACTGAGCTACATCCCCTATGAGACACAGGGAGCATGTTGATCATAAAAGCTTTATGAGATTCATCAGCACTTTCTAAGTGGGAGAACACATTGAGAAATTTCCATCGAAACCGAAGCATTACCTGCGGCAGGTAAATTACTTCTTTCCATCCCCTGAACTGTCAATTAGATCTGTGAGGAGAATAATAGGCACAGTTTTTCATGTTTTTTCATTTACATATTTTTCTTTTTCTGCAGTTGTTGTCACTGGATTTCTTTTTTTTTTTAACTTTATCTTCATTTTCATTATCAAGGATAATCTTTTCAGCTGCAGACCAGCTCACGCTAAATAGATCCCCTTTGGATATTCAAGATAGAGGTTCCACTCATACCTATTAAATGAGCTGTCCTCAGGTCCAATTCAGTGTATTAAGCAGCTGCAAAAAACAGACTGAACAAGGCAATCTCATTAGCATGTCTCTGTTAACAGCCCTCTGCTAATGGCTCTTCATGTTTTATATGAAACAGTGCACTTAAAATAAGCCTGTCCACGTATGAAATGGAGCAAAAGAGCTACTATTTATCTGCTTGTGAACCATCTCTGTAGAAAGAGGACATCGCAAAAAGCTTTAGTAGTTTCAGTGTTTCCCCATTTGAAGGGGAAATCGGATCAGGTATCGCTACTTAACGCCAGTGTACGAAATAGTGAAGCCAGTTTCCTTAGTGAGCTTCGTGCAGTCAGTTTCAAAAAGTAAATCCTCTTGTATCCTGTTGTATTGACTCATTATTGAACAGTTAAGTGTAACAGTTTCACTAAAAGCTCATATCTGCTGCTGAAGTTCATAGATCCGTTCAATTCTATTAATGTTGTGTAATGTTTTTTGCTAATGGTATGCAAAAAAATGCAGGCTCATAACGCACCGCACAAAACATTTTTGGTGTCACCAAGTAATAGTTTATGACATGTGTTCACTCTCACTTTAACAAATTAGATGCTTTCAGCTCACTGAAAACATCTAATTTTTTAAATGTACGGGTCAGGCCGGCAGTCAGCCAGTAAGAACTGTGGTAGCTGCTGAACATTGTGTCCTCTGGACACCAGGCTGTAGGTTGTTGACGAGATTTCGTAAATTCCAGCCAGCTTTATATGAGGCACTGGACAGATGATTGCACTAAGACCCACTGCTTCCAAGGGTAGGAGATATGAATAACGCTGTTAGGAGACAGTGAAGGAAAAAACAGAAGCATGGCCCTTTGCATGTGTGTCTGTGTGTGCCTTGCTAGCCCACCAATACAATGCATGTTTTCATTCAGATACATGACGCTTAATGCATGCATGTGTTCTCCTTGAGCAGCAGTTTCCATCCACTTTTTCTAAACAGCCGGAAGCCGAGAGCAGCTCTCATCAATAACCGAAATACAATCATCATTTCCTGCTACTGTTAATGTGATTCAGTAGAATGCTAAATGTCAGCCTAGCATTATTTTATCTTTTTCCCCCCATTAGCCATGTAAATGACACAGAAAACTAATTTCATCTCTTCCCATGATCACGTTTTTCTGCTTATTTTAAGTTGCTGTCTTTAGTCCAAATGTTCAGCCGAAATCTTCATTATTAAAAAGATAACGGATGAGTAAAAACATTTTAAAACGTATTACCAGTAGTTTTGTTCATTTACAGATAATGAGAGCTCAGTTAGAGAAAAAAAATAAATTAAAGGGATAGCTCGCTCCCAAATCGAGTTGACATGTTTTCCCTCTTGGGCTGTGATGCTGTTTATCTGTTTAGATTGTTTTGTTGTGTTTTCCAGTTTTATCTGCTGTAGAATACCGCCTTCCCTTGAATATAACAGGACCTGAAGGCATCTGCTTTGGTGCTCAACTACATTTGAAAATCTCAGCAGTAATGTCTCTCTCTAGAAATCTTGAGTAACCCAGTTACTCACAAAGACCCTCAAACCTTGTTCCATACAGAACCCAACATTACAGGTCATTCAGAGGGGAAGCCATTAATCTTCACATCATCTTCAAATGAAAAGCCATTAATAAACTCAGATGAGTGACTAGCTCAGGATTTCTGCAAAGAGACAGTTTTTAAAATATTTTTTGTCAAGGTGCAGTATTGTGCAAAAATGTTGAACTGCCCTCACTTCTTTGTGTTTTTGTAAAACAAATGCGAGGTAGTTTAATGAAACATGCAAATAGAGATACAGAAATGCAACTCTAACAACTTGAAAGTCAGTATGTGATGTGACCATCTTTGTTCTATAACACAGTGTGAACTGTCTCAGACAAGTGTTATTGCAGTTTCTTGAAGTAGTCCTCAGGAATACTTTTCCAAGGTTTTTAAAGGACATTCAAAAGTCTTCTTTTAATGTTGGCTGACTTTTGTTCTGTTCTTTCCGGCACTACCTCAATAATGTTGAGGTTCAGGCTCTGTGTATGCTAATCCATCACTGATAGTAGTCCATAGTAGTAGTTTTATGTTTTTCCATCAAGGTATGTTTTTACCTATAATGTAGGTCATTATCCTTCTTCTGAAATATTGACGATAGTTTGAACCAAACGTGTGGATTTATCAGCTGTTGCTTCTGATTTTCAAACCAGTTTATGTGTAATTTAGCATATCTAAGTCTTTTCTAGTTGTTTCCCTTCCTTAAATTGGGATTGGCTTCTTGACAGCCACTCTTCCACTGAAATTAGTTCGTATGAGGCTTCAGTGAATTGTAGATCGAATAACACAAGGACCAGCTGTATCTCTTAGGTCGTTTATCAGGTTCAGCTCTTGAGTTAGTTGCCTTTATATGCTTGAATGAGTGTTAAGAGGCTTAACACATAACAAAAACTTAGAGATACAGTACTTAGAAATGTGTTTAGGTCAGTTAAAATCCAGAAAGAGGCACATCTTTACAATATCTCCAAAACTGGGCGTATTTAACATAAAATAATCTAAACCGAGAAAGAGAACTAAAGACAGGAAAAAAGTCATGCACCTTTAGAGTGTCTTTAAATGTAGAGTTGAGTCTGCATGTACCACTTTCCTTTTGGGCTGACATTGTTTTGTATCTAGTGGTTGTGACATCACATGTTCATTTTAGTAACTGTAATTTACTGCATGTCATGTCCCCAAACTCCCAACAGACACAGCACTGTCAGACATAAAGAATGCTTTGTTGTGGTGTTGCTGTGTCCTGTGACTCTGATATAATCCTTCATAAAACCAGCTGGAACACTTCAAATACAGAAAGGTTTTGGAAAAGAGTTGTGGCAAAGAACATCAATGTGGCTTGCTAATGAAAAGTGATAGTGTTTGTGTAGTGTGGTTGTGGAAGAGCAGCGAATGGGTTACATCATCGCAAGACATCACAGATTAATTGCAGCACACTTGAGTTGAAGTAGTGTGAATGGCATGGATGTCATTCTCATCAGTCGGCGCATAAAACAAGTAGTGGCCAGAATATTGTGCAGTGTGGTTTAAAGAAGCATTAAGAGGGCACCTCTCAGTTCTTTTTGAGCCTGATGACTTTTTTGCACTGTGTTGCATTGAGGTCAGCTTGCCCCTTGACATTGGAAACCTAATGAAATGTCTACGTCTGTGCTCCTGGGAGCTTTCTTATTTGTCTTAATATTTGTGCTGCTTCCCCAGGTTACTCTGGTGACCAGCCAGCCAGGCCGTAGCATTGTTCATCAGCTGGAGATGGGGCTCAAAGATGCTGACCTGGTTTCACTGAAGCGACTCCTGGTAGTGCAGATCTACAGTACAGGAGACTGGGGCCAAGACACTCTCTCACCTGAGGCCGCCGCACCCTCAGAGACTGAAGGTAGGAAATACAAATACACACACAAAACACAAGACTGGAACATGCACACACACTCAGACCCACACTAATTGAGACTGTAGGGTCATTAAAGAGGAGACAGGCTGTCAGCTGTTACTGCAGGCTAACCAGGAGTGCATGTAACTCAGTTTAAAACAACAAGCAAAAAGCATTAACAAACACTCAGTCCTCATGAAAGCAGACTTGACTCCTCCGCACTTTCCACATATCTCCCCCCCCCCGTGCTTTCTTAATCATGCTCTGCGGAGCTGTGTAGCACTGACCCATTTATAACACCCTATTTTTACTATTTTTTTACTGTTTTCAGCATATCTGCGCGCCACACTCATCACATATGTCACGGTTTGTATAACTTGGCTACAATCCAAACATTTGCCAGTCCTCTCTTAGAGAGCCTGATTTCATAATCACATGTCATGTTTTTTAATTACATGAAGGTTCAAGTGATGTGGTTTGGTTTGAGTAAGTAGAGGGTGCAATGAGGGCTGCGTAGGAATAAAGGGGTGAAAAGGGAGAAGAACAGAAAGTGAGAAAGAAACATCCAAGTGGGAGCAAATAATGAGGACTGAGGCGTTTCATATAAAACTATTTGTGCATCGTCTGTTTATTCCTTGATCATAAATAGTTATTTGTATCTGTGGAGAAAATGACTTAGCAGACTTTAAGATTGGGTTGTTTTTTTCTCAGAAGTGTGTGTGTGTGTGTGTGTGTGTGTGTGTGTGTGTGTGTGTGTGTGTGTGTGTGTGTGTGTGTGTGTGTGTGTG